GAACTGATTGCACCCAAGTTTTTGAACTTTCTCGAGGGAATGGAAGGGTAAGAGGTATATATTCATAATGTATACCTCTTACCCTTCCATTCCCTCTCTGACAGCGGGAAACTTTGTCTGAATGTTAAACTATTCAGACAAAGTTTCCCGCTGTTTAGGAAGGAATTGTTGGCTATGATGTACTGATTCATGATCAGTACATCATAGCCAACAATTCCTTATACAAAGTTCAAAAACTTGGGTGCAATCAGTTCTGATTGCACCCAAGTTTTTGAACTTTCTCGAGGGAATGGAAGGGTAAGAGGTATATATTCATAATGTATACCTCTTACCCTTCCATTCCCTCTCTGACAGCGGGAAACTTTGTCTGAATGTTAAACTATTCAGACAAAGTTTCCCGCTGTTTGCGAAGGAATTGTTGGCTATGATGTACTGATTCATGATCAGTACATCATAGCCAACAATTCCTTATATAAAGTTCAAAAACTTGGGTGCAATCAGAACTGATTGCACCCAAGTTTTTGAACTTTCTCGAGGGAATGGAAGGGTAAGAGGTATATATTCATAATGTATACCTCTTACCCTTCCATTCCCTCTCTGACAGCGGGAAACTTTGTCTGAATGTTAAACTATTCAGACAAAGTTTCCCGCTGTTTGCGAAGGAATTGTTGGCTATGATGTACTGATTCATGATCAGTACATCATAGCCAACAATTCCTTATATAAAGTTCAAAAACTTGGGTGCAATCAGAACTGATTGCACCCAAGTTTTTGAACTTTCTCGAGGGAATGGAAGGGTAAGAGGTATATATTCATAATGTATACCTCTTACCCTTCCATTCCCTCTCTGACAGCGGGAAACTTTGTCTGAATGTTAAACTATTCAGACAAAGTTTCCCGCTGTTTGCGAAGGAATTGTTGGCTATGATGTACTGATTCATGATCAGTACATCATAGCCAACAATTCCTTATATAAAGTTCAAAAACTTGGGTGCAATCAGAACTGATTGCACCCAAGTTTTTGAACTTTCTCGAGGGAATGGAAGGGTAAGAGGTATATATTCATAATGTATACCTCTTACCCTTCCATTCCCTCTCTGACAGCGGGAAACTTTGTCTGAATGTTAAACTATTCAGACAAAGTTTCCCGCTGTTTGCGAAGGAATTGTTGGCTATGATGTACTGATTCATGATCAGTACATCATAGCCAACAATTCCTTATACAAAGTTCAAAAACTTGGGTGCAATCAGTTCTGATTGCACCCAAGTTTTTGAACTTTCCATTAACAATTGTTCAATCACATTTATACAACCCAAATCTATACCAATCATACTCTTATTCATACATCATATTTTAAAAACTTTTTTGCAATATGATATATGTAAAGTGTCAAAAATGAATTGAACCGAATTTTCATGCATTACACTATATTATATTAATGCTCGTATAGCAAGATATTCGAAATCATCGAGGAACCGGAAAGTGTTTCCATTTTTTGAGAGGAACACTTTCTGTTCTTTATTTATTTCGAAATCTATTTGAGATTTAGATCTGGCATTATGAACATAGAATATGTATAATATTTAAAATGAAATATATGAATTAGGAGGAAATTTGGATTTTTTTCAAATGATATAATTACTATATTTATAGTAAATATTGAGTTTTTGATGGAAATGAACGGTAAGATGGTTATGCATGATGAGATCAATCATATTATATTGTTAGTATGTAATTTAAACAATATTTTATAATTTACATTTTATATTATAGTTAGATAATGAAATTAACATTGTTAGTACAATTGATTCAATAGCTAGTAAAAATGTATATAATAAATCAAGTATGAATTCGGATTTTTCATGAAGGAATTAGAAAGATGAGATTTTTCTTTATTGAAATTTAATAAATAGAAAGTATATTGATGGTGAAACACATCCATAAATATGGGGAAAGCAAATATTAGCAAGATTTCGTAAAATGTTTAGGAGAATGTTGAAAAAGGAGAAATTTTATTTTAAAAAAATTGATAAAAAATAGAAAATAAAAAATTGAAAAAATAGATAGTATATTAATAGATAAATGCAATTATTAAAAAACAAATTTGAATTTTGATATGGGAATAAAATTATTCTCACAAATTGTAAAGATTTGAGAGCGTTTTGAAAAAAATCAAAATTATCAAAATGGATAAATTATGAAAAGATTAATTGTGCATTTAAGTTAAATAAAAATATATTTGTAATTGAGATAATATAGGATAATTCAAAATTTGCTTTGAAAATGCATTTGAATAGAAGAAAGAAAAATAATGTTTAAAGAAAAATAATATATAAGGCTGAATATAAAACAATAATTTGAATTCAAATTTACAATAAAAGTATTGTTTTTTTTAAAATCAATTGAATTTTATTTTTTATTATAAAATATGAATCTTGTTTTTTAAAAATTACACCTTCTCTCAATTTTTATTATCCTTTCAAAATTGCCGATCATTTCTTAAAAAAATTTGCATGAATTAATAATTTGATTTGTTTATTAAAATATATTTGATTTATCTTCTTTTTTAGAGAAAGGGACAAACTATCCAGTGTCACTTTTCAAAGGAATAAAAAAAATAATAAAGATGAAATAATAACATGAAATCTTATATAAATATAATTTTATCTAAATAGATAAATGAATTAAGCAGTTTACAGTTATATATATTTAATGAGAGACAATATCTAGTTCTATGGTAGAAATGACTCTTAGACTCAAATAAGTAACACAGATAGAAAGTACTCAGTATAACAATTATATATGTACACTCAAAGTTAGTCGCTGCTAAAATCTTAACCTTGCATTTCGGGAAAATCTGACTAATGGCTCTTAGACTCAAATAAGTAACACAGATAGAAAGTACTCAGTATAACAATTATATATGTACACTCAAAGTTAGTCGCTGCTAAAATCTTAACCTTGCATTTCGGGAAAATCTGACAAATGGCTCTTAGACTTGTTTTGATAATTAATTCTTCAATTATATTATAATTTATAACAAATTTCCTCAAACTATCTGTATGTCATTCAATTCCCGGCCACTACATTCAATGATGGACCATTTCCTTCAAATTTTGAAATACCTTATTCAATTTGTTGTATGGAGCCCGTGATATTCAACACTATGGAGCTCCTCCAGTTTGGTATCCAAGAAGAGATAAAAGCTAGCATGGGCTACTCTCAAAAATGCAGGAAAGAATACTCCACGATCGAATACAAATGTAAGTATCCACAATGTCAAGCTAAATTCAAAGTCCGGATAATAGATCAAGATAAATATGAACTACTAATCCACTCTGACTCTCATGATCATTCTGCACCTCCGAAATCAACAAAAACAATATCCTCATTATTTGTCAGAAATTATCTTAAACATTACTTTGAAAACAATATGAATCATGCTACAGCTCAACTTAAGTGTTTCCAAGACTTAAATATTTCATATACAGACGAAGAGTTACTTTCAATATTTGCACAAGGTCCAGATGCATTACGTAAATTTGCTCAAAGAGCTGAAATTGTTTCCAAACGCTTTAGTTCGGATGAAAAAGTTTCTTTAGCTATCTTTGTCGAATCTGTTCAAGAAAGTTGTCCAGAAGATTTAATTGAATTTATCTCTGAGCCGGGAAAACTAGTTTTTTTATATGCACCTTTCGAAGCGAAGGCCCTTGGTCACCAAATTTCTACGTTTCACATCGATTCAACGTATAAACTTCTAAGGGCTAACATTCCATTATATGCACTCACAGGAAAAACAGAACATACTATTGTTTTTCCTTTTTTGTATTTCTTTATTTCTCCTGACACAAGCGAAAATATTCAATATTGTGTTTGTCGTTATTTTCAATATATTAATAGAGAACCCGAGATGATAAGTATGGACTGCGCCCCACAAATAGCCGAGGCAATTGAGCGAGGTATTCCAAACTGTCATATTCTTTGGTGTGGCGTGCATGTCCTTCGCGCCATATTAAGAAAAGCGGATAAGTTTAAATCACGAGACAATTTTGAAGAATTTTATAATCTAATGAAATTATTAGTATTCGATACTAAAGAAGAATCTCCCGAGGAAGAACAGAACCAAGAAGAAGAAAATCCTAGAGAGGAACCAGCTCAATCTCACTTACTTCAAGCAGAAGAAATTGAAGAAGAGGAACAATATGAAGAAGAATTCATCGAAAATGAATTTCAACCTTCTCAAATCTTTTTACCACGAGAATCTTCTGATGATCCAAACGATTCTGAATTTATTCCAGAAGAAGAAACGTTTGAAACAAGTGAAGAAGTTCCAGAGCACCTCACTCAAGAAGAAGCTGCAGACCTAGATGCAGTTTATGATTGAATTCTTGAAATTCTTTCCACTGAACCGAAAGCCCAAAAGTACTTAGATAGGCAATGGAGGCATCATTTAGATCGTTGGAATAAGCGCTATCGCAACGGAGGTGACGCGACTAATAACGTCAGTGAGTCACATTTCAAAGTTCTCAAGCATTATTATTTCCCAGAGAGAAGGAATATTCGATTAGACGATTTTGTTGTTGAATTATACACAACGGTTGTTCCAGCATTATTGATTAAATTTAAAGTTCAATTAATCAATAGTGATAAAGTTGTTCGTATATTACGAAAAGCTAATGACCATGAACAAATATTGGAAAACAAAAAAGTCGAATGTTTGAAAATGCTTGAAGCAATATATTCAAGTTTGCAACAAGGATCAATAGATTCAAATCTTGTTTATTGTACTTTAAAGGTACTTTTAAAAAAGAAACAATTAATGTAAAAGATTCAAATAATTTTTTATTATTATTTTATTAATTTTTTAAAATAAGGTTAATAAAAAGTGACACTGGATAGTTTGTCCCACACTCCTTTTTTTTAAAAAAGTTACACCTACTCTCAATTTTTATTATCCTTTCAAAATTGACGATCAATTCCTCAAAATTTGAAATCAACATTATTTATTATATTCAAATTTTGAAGGCATTCTCTTTCTCGTTTGTTTATCTCTTCTTATTCTTTCAGGGATCTCTAAACTATCTATAGCTGGCAAGTTTTTATAACTTGCCGTCATTTTTGCCAGTTCTTCAATTTTTTCATCTGATATTTTCGCTGTATAACAATTATTTAAATATTGGTCTACATTAATTCTTAATTCAGGTTTTTGATTGTTAAGTGCTTCAATATGAGAACAAACGGTTTCGAAACGCTTTGTTTCATTGCAACTGCAAATTCCTTTACCATTGAAGATAAGGATTTTTTCTTCAAAGCCAAGCCTATCAATAACTTTAAATAAGTCTTTGATTTCGCTGTAGTGAACATTATATGAGAACGATTTTTTAATTACAAAATCGATAATTTCTTTTGGTTGACCACAGTTTTTCAATGCCTCAACTCCATATTTGACTGTTGCATCTGTAAACCAGGCAAAAGCTTCAATAATATCGAAATTTTTTCTTTTTTGGAATTCCCCATTTAAGGCTTCCAAAACAGAAGTAGCTTGCAATCCTTGGTCAAATGAATTGAACTTAAAGGGATTTGCGTCTTTTAATTTTTTAATAAATTTATCAATTTTTGTTTCCGAATAATTTTGATAATTTTCTGTTATTGATTTTTTGATGTCATTTAATTTGTTTGTATAATCAACAGAGTTTATAGCCAAATTCAAAGACCATATTATTTTTCTACATTTCGAATATTTCACATCTTCGAAAAGGTGAAAAATGCACCTCCGTTGTTTTTGAATCAATCCATTTTCAATTAATGCCCCTTTAATAGCTGTTCCGCCGTCACTCAAGATAATTGAAATGTCATTTTTGGTGATTTTATTGAGAATTGTCTTAAATAAACTAGACATTAGTGGAAGATCTTCTTCCACAGACCAACCATATGCTATCGGAATAGCTCGTCTGGTTGGAGATGTAGTGGCAATTACCCCCATTTTACCCGCACAGATTGTATTGGTTCTAGTGGCATCCACAAGAAGAATATTGTTAAATCTTTCTGATTTAAGAAGCAATTCTGATGCCGGTGGTAAAATTGAAATACATTTTATTATAAAGTTTGGATCTTCAATTAATTCGTTAACTTTGTAAATATACTCATTTTTATCATTTTTTTCACCTGTAGAAATAATGGAACAGCCTCCTGATTCAACAATATGATTATTCAATGAAATTAGTTTTTTGAAACTATTCACTAAATCAGAATCTGTAATATGAAAAATTGCTTTTACACGTTTTCGAAAAGTATCTTTTCCTATTTCCCTTTTGAATTGTTTTTGAACGATATGATGAAAATTTGTAAAATTATTACTGATAAATGATTCATTATTTGATTCAATAAGATAATCTAATACTATTGTGGGGATGGTTGTTGATTCCATACAATGCGAATGAGATTTATCAACTCGTATTTTGTAACATTTGAGCGTTTTGTCATAGTAAACTGTATAATGAGCGCCGCATTGACATGATAATTCATGTTTTGCTCTATTATAGTTCATAAATATGAAATTTTGAGATGTGTGGTATAATGCTGTAAAAAACGCTGAATCTTCATTGGCAAAATTAATGGATGTTAAATATGCTTCAATTGCTATAATTTTTTCATGCGAAATTTCAGATGTTGAGTAGCTAGGAACAGAATCGTCATTTTCATTATTTGACAATGCTTTTTTTAGATCTTGAATGGATGGAATTAATGGCCAGTCCATAGGATCACTCAATGGAATTTTGAAATCAATTGGATTTTGAGGTGGAGCATCAATATATTTCAGTAATAAAGACATTTATGAATTAGAAAAGTGACAAATAATAAATCACCATAAATAATATAAATTCAACAATATATATGATGCAATATCTATTATATAAAACATTCTGTGAATTAAAAATTTAATTTTTTTTCATGAATCATTTGTAAATAATATTTTTGCTACAGTTTTTCAGGAGATATTAAAAATCATGACGATATTTGTTTGACATTATTGATGTTTCAATGATAAAAATAATAAATGGTGATTAATATTATGTTTCTAAAGAATATAAGAGACAACAGAAATAGAAATATGTTAGAAACTTAAAAATATATGTATACATAATAGCTTATGTTATCATAGCTAAATATCATTTAAACAGAATATGAAGATATAGAAAAAAGTGTGTATCTGATTTGAATCTAAAAATATAGTGTTTTACTGACAATGAATTGCTTATTATGTTAGCAATAATCAAAAAATCTATGAATCAGGATGAATTTGGTATTTTGATTCAAATTCGCTGATTGTATCTTCATCTAAGATCTCATAATTCTGTGATAGAAAATTAATAATGGAATCAGTAACAATTTGATTTTGTATGATAATTGGATCATCAATTAAATTTAAATATAAATTTAAGTAAAAATCGAGATTATCTTCATTTATTGGATTATTATTAAATGACTGAATTATATCTATTTTATGAGATGGTAGAATGCTTTTATCCGGTAAAATTGAATAAGAAAGTTCGCACATTAAGTCAAATCCTAAATTCTTACTTGAAAAGCATAGAGTCCGAGAGTTTAATTTGACAATAAAGCTTACCATTTCATTTATAATTGATTTAACTTTCAAGTAATTTTCTTTTGAATATATTAAAATTAACAAATTGCTAATATTGTATTCACTATATGTGTCAGATTTGCACATATTCAAAAAAATTATTAAATAATTGAAAGGCATAAACTCGTAGAATTCATCCATTTGAAACTTAGCGAGACAACACATAACATATGAAACCAATTCAATTGTATTTTTTTCATTTTGTATTGTAAAAATGTTTTTTACAGAAAAATTGACAAAATATTCACCAAATATATCAAATATTTGATGACTAAATTCAAGAATTATCTCCGAAACAAAAGTCAGAATTGAAATGGAAATTTTCTCAGATAGCTGAAATTCTTCAGTTAAAAGCATTAAATAATTGAAACAGATCTGTTTTTCTGACGAAAAATTGAGTTTTATATATAATTGAATCAGCCTATGAAGATATTTTTATCTTGTGTTTTTATCAATTCAAATAGTAAAGTTATATGTAAATTCTTGATTAATGTGTCATCTTTTGTTTCATTATATGTTATAAGTGTTAATTTTAATATAAATAAACTGTGTTCACTAAAAATGAATTTTAAATTTAAATCCTTACATACTTCTAAATCCTTTAATACCATTAGGAGTTGTTTAAATTGTTGAAAATTTAATAAAATTTCAAATGGAAAGTTAGTTGTTAACCTGTAAAATAAATCATATGCAACTTCTTTTTGTAGCACTAAATCAATGTCCGAAAATTTTGAAATAAGAAATTCAAAATCCGCATTAACTGAATTTTGCCCTCCAAAATCGTGTTCAATTGAGCAGCAATTAAAATTTTGATCCTGGTAATTGTTTTCAGCCTGACTATAGTTTTCTATCTCTTTGTAATTGGTAAACATTAAAAAAAGTAAAATTATATAAAAAGTAATTGTTTATTTAGTTAGTTTTTCCTTCTTATTCTTTTGGTTCTTTAATTTCTATATGAGATTCATAAAAATCCAATAGGCTTTTGATATTATATTTTTTGACATCGTCCCTTGAACACTTATAAAACTGTCCATTGATTTCACCTCACACATGTATTTCCATTTTCAATCCACATATGGGTAATTTTAAATTTTTTAACTTTAATTTCTCAGGAGGGGCCTGAGTTTGGTTCCGTTTCTCAAAATCGTCAATCAATTTTTTTATAAAAAAATAATTTCGTGGAATCAACCCAATTACATTCTTCTTTATTGTTTTCAAATCCATTTATTAAATATTGAGTTGAATCACCATTATTTTTTTTTCATTATAATTTGAGTGGGTTTGCAAGTTTTATCATTGAACATTTGCAAATAAATTGAGACATGATCGGTAATTTTGAAAGGATAATAAAAAATTGAGAGAAGGTGTAATTTTTAAAAAAAGAAGATAAATCAAATATATTTTAATAAACAAATCAAATTATTAATTCATCCAAAATTTTTTAAGAAATGATCGGCAATTTTGAAATGATAATGTTATAGACCGAAAATAGATTTTTTCGGTTTTCTCTTCAAATAATTGAAAGAATGATACTATTATCGGTTTATTATATTATATAGCATATAATCATGCTATAGCCGAAAATTATAAGTTTTGAGAAGATTGAATATAACACAAATAAATTTGAATGTAAGTTAAATTGCTTGTTGTTTTTAATAGCTATTTAATGAGAAATCCAATATTGCAAAATTCAAATTGAATGATTGAAAGAACAGAAAAAGTCATTCTTTTCAATTTCGAATATGTTTCATTGTATTTATAATTATATGGCAAATAAGATATTTAAACTTGATTTTTGAAGGAAAATTCACAAAATTGAATAAATTCAAATAATTTTTCAAAAATAAACTAGTTATTTGAGTTTAATACTAATTATCTATTCAAACTACAAAGTTTGTAATTTAAAATATTTTGTGAGATCAGATTGAATTAATTCAAGGTTCTTTTCAATTAATATTAATGACCATATTACGCATTTTCGAACATTCTAAACCAAATATATAAAAATGGGAGACGAATGTTAAATTTGCTAGACATGGGGGAGTTGTCTGCAAAGTTTTAGCTCTTATCTCTAACAAAAAATTAATTTTAAAAAAAATGACCGAATATGTTTCACAGCGAGAAAAAAATAAAACTGTACACTGATTTTCATTTTCATTTCCAGTCACTTTACTTATTATTTTTTCTTTTTTTCATTTTAATTATAAATTATTTCATAATACGTTTATTTACGTTACCATTTTCTTTATTCTTTTGAATTCCATACTAGACACTTATAGAATATTTTGATTGTTAACGTACTTCATTAGAATGAATCCTTACAAAGGGTATGTCGATCGAATTTACCTAATTGGTATTTCCAATCAGATTGAAGAAGGTAAAATGACATGGGAAGAAGCTTGCACCCATGTTCCATCGCCCAACCCTTCAATCAAATGATTTCAAATATTTAGATGTTTCAAAATCTTTTTTACAAAATCAATTTAGCTTACACAATATCCCATTGCCTAAAGGCAAGAAAGGTCGTAGAGTCAATCCCTACGACCAAATCAAAGCTTTTGCTGTGATACATGACCACTGGGCCTTTCCCTGTGGTCAAACAAAACAATGGAAACGTTTGAAATTACAACAAATTGATGTATCTTATAGAGAAGTACGCAGATACTTCAAAGAAAATCATTTCACCAAGACGCGATTAGAGCATGCCGGGCCAGAAACAGCAGTAAGATATTGGGCGCTTTCCCCCAATCTTATCTGGCACGCAGATGTTCATTATTTTAGGGGTGTTCGTGGCCAGTATATTTATGGCATAATCGACGATTTTAGCCGCAAAGTCCTAGCGTGTATACAAATACCAGATATGCTGGCAGCGACGACAGCGAACGTTGCGGCTTCCGCCTTCATTGAATTTGGCGCCCTTATTGTTTCTTGACGACAACGGTTCAGAAAATAGGGGCGCCTTTCAAGATCTACTTGATCTTTGGGGCGTCCAATGGCGGCATACAGACTCTCATTCTCCCTACCAAAATTGGAAGATTGAGAGATTCTGGCCGACATTGGAGCGCTGCCGAAGCATTCAGGCTATTCCTGCCTTTATTTGGGAGTACAATAATAACACACCGCATGAAGATCTCCCAATTAATCCATTAACTGGAACAAATTACACGCCAAATCAAATGTATCAGCTGAAACCGAAATACACAAATGCAGATACAGAAAGGTTGTGGCAAATATGGGATACAGATACAGGCATGACCGCTGTTGACACATTCACAGCGTAATAATAAACATAATTTTTTATTTCATTTTTAACAAGTTTTTTTAAATGTATGTAATGAATAATTCATTAGAATATGATAATGCACATTGTAACAGAATAGAACAATCACCAAATTTTTTTGAAATTAAAAAATAAAAGTAAAAAGTTTAAAGTAATCTAACCAAAAAAGATATTTAAAAGAATTTTGGAAAAAACAGAATAAGGATAATGATATTATTTTAGATACACAATCGATGTACTGAAGAATAATCCGGTAAAATGATGATATAAAATTAGATTATTTTACAAGTAGCTAAAAGAATAAAACTATAATATAAATAAATGAAGTTTAATGAAACATAAAGGTTAAATAAATAATAAAGATTTTTATTTTATATCAGTATTGAGAAGAAGTAACAGCTGACACTTGGTAGACAACTTCTTTATGTCTAGAAAATTCTATCTTGCCCTTTATTTTTTTCTCGCTGTGAAACATATTCGGTCATTTTTTTAAAAATTAATTTTTTGTTAGAGATAAGAGCTAAAACTTTGCAGACAACTCCCCCATGTCTAGCAAATTTAACATTCGTCTCCCATTTTTATATATTTGGTTTAGAATGTTCGAAAATGCGTAATATGGTCATTAATATTAATTGAAAAGAACCTTGAATTAATTCAATCTGATCTCACAAAATATTTTAAATTACAAACTTTGTAGTTTGAATAGATAATTAGTATTAAACTCAAATAACTAGTTTATTTTTGAATAAAAATTATTTGAATTTATTCAATTTTGTGAATTTTCCTTCAAAAATCAAGTTTAAATATCTTATTTGCCATATAATTATAAATACAATGAAACATATTCGAAATTGAAAAGAATGACTTTTTCTGTTCTTTCAATCATTCAATTTGAATTTTGCAATATTGGATTTCTCATTAAATAGCTATTAAGGATGGGCACTCATTAGGGTGATGAAAAAAATCAAGTCTAGCAAAGTCAATATATTAAAAACAGTGAAGACTGTTATATAGCATTATAGTGCACAAGCTCAAATATTTAGTGATGCATTTCTCGAACTTATTTTACTGATAAGTTAACCTTGAAACATGAATTTTAGTATATCATGAGCATATTTTTTCTAATTTTGCAATACTTATAATATCATACCAGGATTCATGTGGAAGTCTAATATTTGGTATATAATATTCTGACAATAAATGTATGAATTCAATTATATTCAAAATGATGGGTCGCAATTTTTACTGAAATTGCAAATTTAATTTCAACAATGAAATTATTGTTTAAAAAAAATAGCATAACAGCAAGATGGACAATCATATATAGAATTATAATGCTCCATATAATTCTTTGATTTGATGCGTATATAATGTTATTTTTCGAACATCTTTGTAAAAAATTGATTTTTGTAATTTTTGAAAAAATTCGATTTTATTTCGAGATTTCCTCTATAGGTGAAGTATATTGAACAATATTCCTATGGGAGAAAATAATTGTAAGTATGAGTACTTTCATTAATACTATGGGTGCCATGGTTATCGCTCAAACGATCAAGTTATATCTCGATTGCGTAAATTGAAATTTTGCTATTTTCTAAATTCACGGCAACAACATTCTTTTATCCTGATTGTACATCACAATATTTGAATGTGCGACCATTTGTTCAAGAAACCGTCAAGTTATTCTTCATTTTTCATGCCGCGGCGAACAAAAGCAGTTGCAAAGCGTATAAAGAACTGAGTATATAAGAATTTCCGAAAAAAGTGACACCCAAAAGTGACACTTTCAATAGGGAGTAACACTTAAAAAGTGACAATTTAAAATTCACAATAAATAAAAATAATAAATTTTTTAGTCTATTAAATTATTCTTTTCTTTGAAATCCTCTAAAAATTCTTCGAAATGTTCTAAAATATAATCTGGAGAATTATAACAAAATTCATTAATTTCTAACATATACGTATCTAACAATTCATTTGGAATTTCAAACGATCTTAAATATGCAATTGAATTTTGTATCTTCTCATTTATTTGAGAAAGTTTTTCTTCAGCATTTTCCAATAAAAATCTTAATGGATTCAAATTGGCTTCTTGATTCTGAACAAAATTTAATACTTGGTATAAACGTGATTGAACTTCTCTTTTCAATTTTGTTTTATAATCTGTCAATCGAGGCTCGCGAATTCTAATTGAAGGAATAAAACCTGTTTGAAGTAAATCGTTTTTAATACGATAAAAGTAATTGGGTGCAACTTTTTCTAAAAGATTTTTGACAAAAACATCAATTCTTTGATTTTTAACACAGCCAAAATCGTGATATTTTATCTTTTTAAATAAAGATTCAGAAACGTTATTTACAACGGTTAATTCATTTGGTCTGGCAGCGGCTATCCACTGTTGTTTATGAATGTCCCACTGACGTGTAAAGTATTGATTAAATTCCAATTGATCTTGAATTTTATCAATAATGTGCTCTTTATACATTTTTGCAGCATCTTCTTCTGTGCAATCACGATAATAACATAAAATGTTCATAAATTTTTCGACTTCTGATCTAATCTCTTCATCATTTATCTTTGAGAGATTCTTTTTAAGTGCGCGTATTACATGTGGCGCGCACCAAAAGATATTGCACTCCGGAAATGAATTCCTAATCCCGTTGAAAATGTTTAGTGCACAGTCAGACATGATAAATTCAGGTTCTGTGTGAGTTGTTTCAAAATATTTACTTAAGCAAAAAGAAATATTTTCACTATTATCTGGATATATTATAAAATAACACAAAGGGATAGAATGAGTATTAGCAAATTTGGTAGCTAATACATAAAAAGGAAATCCATGAATAATTAATTTAAACGTAGAGTCTAAGTGATAAATTGGTGGTTTTTCATGAATTTGAGAGATCATATCATTATCAGAGTAAATAAAAACCAATTTGTCTGGAAAATCAGTATCTTCACCTTGAATGTCAAAATAAATAAGGTCATCATGTTGATCTTCCCATTGATTAACATAGTTTTGTAAAGATTGAAATTGATTTAAAGATATGTCTGGTAAAGATCTCATAAGATCTTTTTGTTGTAAATAATATTTCAATTGATTGATTGCAGTTTGTTTCATAGTCATGTGAATACAAGTATGATCTTTAGGTATTTCAAGCGTTTTGTTGACTTCTTGTGTTGCATTAAGTGGACTTCCGTGATTCATGAGAAATTTTTTAATCCAAGCACGGTAAGTACCACTTGTAGGTGTATTTTTATGTTGTGGTGGTGGTCCTGAGTGAATATGAGTTAAGTTTGCAGATTTAAAAATGTAATTGTCGAAATTTTTAATAAATTTAAAGCCTGCTGGGCAGCCTTCGTATTCGCATCGGTGGTAGATTAATACTCCTGTTCCAATTGATAGTTTTTGTGGGTCTTTGACAAATCTTATGTTACCATGCAGCTCTGCAGCTATAACAAAACGAGAATATTCTAAATATCCTATGGCTTGATCAACCTCGCATGGAGGATCGGGTGGAGGATGTTGCATTGAGCAGCAAAAAGGAAAAATAAAATTGAAAACTCACATTGAAAAAATAACGGTTTAATAGAAAATATTTTTTTTCTTCTGAAAAAGAATTATCTTTGAGTATCTAAATTGGGATAAAGGATATAGAATAGATAACTAGTACTTAATATATGATACATGTACACGAAATGGAAGAATGTGTACTAAAAGAAAGAGAAATTTTAGCTTAATATTTTACATACGAATCAATTATCTTTGGTTAAAAGGTAGAATTGTTGGCTATGATGTACTGATTCATGATCAGTACATCATAGCCAACAATTCCTTATACAAAATTCAAAAACTTGGGTGCAATCAGTTCTGATTGCACCCAAGTTTTTGAACTTTCTTGAGGGAATTAAAGGGTAAGAGGTATACATTATGATATATACCTCTTACCCTTATTCCCTCTCTGACAGCGGGAAACTTTGTCTGAATGTTAAACTATTCAGACAAAGTTTCCCGCTGTCAGCGAAAGAATTGTTCCATCTGGTGCATAGAGTGTGAATCTATGCACCAAATGGAGCAAGTCCCTCGCGAAATTGCCAAACTTGCGTCGCATTTCAAAGATTGCGACCCAAATTTTGGCGATTTCTAGTAGAGATGGAGTATTTTGAGTCACTGACCTATATGCAGTGGCTCAAAGGGCTCCATCTCTACTTTGAAGCAAGGAAACTTTCCTCGAAATTTTGATAATTTGAAGAAAGTTTTCAAGCAATTAACAAAGGATTACTCGCTATGAAGTAAAAATTCTAGATTTTCACCTCATAGCGAGAGCTTCCCTTTCATTGCTTGAAAACTTTCCCCAGCTTCAAAATTGGGGAAAGGGCTGTAAAGTCGACTCCGATACCAGCAGGTACCAGAGTATTTAAAAGAGAAGCCCTCGTACAAGTTTCTATGAAGACCTTCTCATTCAAGAAGATCTTAATAGAAAATCGTACGAGGGCATTGGAAACTCGCGTCTGGTACATGTTGGTACCAGAGTGTTTGAGATTTGAAGACTCTGGTACTAACATGTACCAGAATTTATGATGAATTGAAGATGGACCATTATAAAATGGTAGCGGTTTGTTTCAAAAAATTTTAGATGAGATTTGCAGAGATATAAAAATTGCTCACATTTGCTCACATTTTGGCACTTTTTTGTACGTTTGTCAAAAAAATTGTGAGGAAGATCTCACAAAAATAGTCAAAATGTGAGCAAATTTTGAGAAGTGCTCACATTTTGACATACGATTATTTTCATACGTTTTTTTGATGAATTCTAATAAAACTTCATTACCACTTTCAGAACGAAGCGTAACTTTTCAGCACGTAACGCTCTATCATGTGTAGTGACATATTATTCAAAAAAACTCAGATTGCTTATCTTAGAGAAAGGGACAAACTATCCAGTGTCACTTTTCAAAGGAATAAAAAAATAATAAAGATGAAATAATAACATGAAATCTTATATAAATATAATTTTATCTAAATAGATAAATGATGTAATAAACAGAAATTCATCAAAAGTGACAACTCTCAATTTTTTGACATTTGTAAATTCTAAATTGAATGAGAAAAATGAAATAATACTAAGCATAATACAATATTCTAGATTTAATTATAATTAGGAAAAAGTTAGTTTTGAGAGTACTTTTCATAGGCATATAGAATGAAATCTTCTGAAAAATAATATCACATAAACTCATATTATTTTCTAATATATAACTATTTTATATAAAAATCAAATTCAATGATCTTAAAAGCGAAGGATAAACCTCAAAATTTACGAATATAATGAGTGGGAATATAATGCTTATCTATCATAAAACCATATGAAATATCAATTTTTGCTTTACGCCTAATTTTTGACGACAATTAGCAAAAAATGTTAAATGTTAACACTCAGTCCATTTGAATATGAAAAATAAAATTGACTTTGATTAAATGTTTTTATTTATCATGCAATTCTTCTTGCGACCAAAGATTTGAATAAAACTTCAAAAATAAGATAGCTTAAAAAATAACAACATACGGTAGTGTTTACTAATAGATGAATAGTATATAAATTCTATTAAAATGGATTTGATCCAAAAAAATATATAAAATTTGATCATAAATAAAATCGTTTTAAATTACTTCTTCATTTAAATTATAACAATTATTTTTGGTTTTATATTTTTTTGGATCAACTCCATTTTAATAGAATTTATATACTATTCATCTATTAGTAAACACTACCGAAAAAAAAAGGTAGTGGGGCTTCCAGGCGCGTTGCGCCCTCTAGCCCTGAAGATGTTTAGTATAAATGAAGTTTTTATTCGGAAAATTGTTAGTCTTCTGGTGTGAATTCGGAGGACTCTTCTTCTTCCTCCATTGCTTCTGGGAAGAAGCCTTCTTCTGGGTCGAAAACATTATATAATGTGTCGCTTTTCACAAATTATATATGTTTTCATGTTTTGTCACTTTTCTGTCACTTTTCAGGAAAAAAACATTTTTATTATTATATATAAATGAATTTTACAAAACCACCGTTACCGTTCTTTGGAAATAAGAGTAAATGTAAAGATATTATATTGAGAGAACTTAAGAAACTACCGAATGGTCTAACATTTGTAGATTTGTTCGGTGGAAGTTTCTATATATCCCATTTGTGCCATACAATATTCCCAGACTCAAAGATTATATGCAATGACTTCGACAACTATATGGACCGTCTCAAACATATACCAGATACAAACAATATATTGAAAGAGTTAAAAGAAAAGATACCTATAGGTAAGATGGAACGTATACCATTAGATAAGAAAAATATTGTGAGAGAGGTTTTGAAAAAAGCAGAATATATAGACTGGGATAGTATATCTGCTAGACTATTATATAGTGGTGCTATAAGAGTTCATGACATTGAAACACTTATGTCAAAAGTTTTATATCTTAACTATACAAATGTTTTCAAAGAGGACATAGAAAAATATATTGAGGGTATAGAGTTTGTGAGATGTTATTGGACAGAGTTGTATGAAAAATATAAAGACAAGGAAAATGTTTTCTTTATAGTGGACCCGCCGTTCTATAACACATGGGATTTTCAATACCAAGTAGACTGGACTTTGAGAGACTCTTTAGAAACTTTAGACGTTTTACATAACTGTCCATGCTTTTACTTTACATCCGATAAAAGTGGTTTGGAAACCGTTATGAGATGGTTAGGGGACATACATGACTATGAGTTTAGATATGACAAGATAGAATATGAGAGAGGTCCTATAAACCGGAGAAAGTGTCATAACAAAGAAATTTTATTAGTAAGTAAATGTGGTTTGAAATAGGACTACTTGTTTTAGGTTTTTTCCATTGTGTCATTTATTTATTTGACGTGGCAGAAAAGTACAGAGAATATGAAGATGAACCAATGCCTGCAAATGTTCAGTATATGTACTCGTAAGAGATATTTTTATCTAATATTAAATGGACGCACAGAACTTAGCGAATGCACAGCAACCTGGACAACCAAACCCAGAGAATATTCCAAATGAAGTTAGAATACAAACTGCAATGGCAAACTATGGTCAAGTGCCAACAGATGTACAAATGCAAACTGCCATGTCAAATGACGCTGCGTTAGGTTTGCCACCATGGTATGCAAATATGAGATGGAAAGAGTTTTATACAAACCCTGAAGTGGGATATAAACAACTTTATGCAGATGACGCGAACACAGGAGTTGACCCAGAATATGTTTTCTACCAGAGGAGAAACAGAATGTATGAGCTCCAGTTAAAGAATGCTATGGAACTCAACAGGAAACGTAAGAGACTAGGCGGACATTAGATTTTTACATATAGTAAAATGGGTTTCTTCAGTAGTATTGGAAACTTCTTCAGAAGAGTTGGAAGAGGTATATGGAATGGAATAAAAACCGTAGGAAGAGGAATTTGGAACGGAGTCAAAAATATTGGTAAAAGAGTAGGTCAGTTTGTTGGTATTATACCTAAAGACCCTGAACCAGAAGAGCAAGCTCCTGTTATACAACAGCCTGAACCTGCACCACAGTCTAGTTGGCAACAAATCCAACACCACAACCGGTATATTAAAAATTATATTTTTACCGTTCGATAGTAGTTGTATATGAAACTAAGTTCTAAGTAAAACGCATGGTATAATGGAATTATTCTTTTTCTTCCATCTGTTAAACCATACTTGAAAGTCTGAAATACTTCCACTTGGTGGTTCGTATAACTTTGTAGGTTTTTCGTAAAAGTCATTTGCCAAGCATAAGAAAGAGTTTTGGGCGCCAGAAAATGAAGCATGAACAATAATAGCAGCTGGGTCGAAAACATTTTCATATGTTCCATTAGGGTTTTCGACTTCATAAAAGTCTGGGTGTACTGGATATGCTACAGGCTGATTTAACATCCTCATAAATCTATACCATGCCAAGTTGTTATATTTTGTAGAAATATAAACGTTTTTCCAAGGTCTTCTATTTTATTGATTTTAACAGTTGCATTTTTCCTGTCATAAATAATATCGAGATGGTATTCTCCTTCGTCAATGTTATACTGGTTTGCATATTCGATATAGATATCGTTTATTTTTTCTTGAAAAGCTTGAAGAGTTGTTTCTAAATTTACAAGCAAACTAACTTGTAAAAGTTTTCCCTGTTCAAATTTCTCATACATACGTTTTTTTTTGTTATAGTATCGAACTTCAAAACCGACCGTAAATGGGAAACCATGTATGGCTTCTGAAATGAACTTCATTCTACGAAAGCCAATAGCTTTTGTGACAGATGGGTCTCTTAACCATCTTAACGGGTAGTCAAAACGATAGCCTTCATGCTTTACGGTCTCTGTCTCAAACTTTTGACCGACATTAGTAAAAAGTTCATCTAATGGTTTAGTTGTAGCAACTCTTGAATTTTTTTTTTTTATTGAAAGCATATTTTATCTAGAATAAAAATGTCGAAAGATATTGCTTCCATGAGAGAAATACAACACAACCGACAACTCATTATGCAAGCTCTAAATAAGAACACAACAAACTTTTCAAACTATTCTAAGATATCTGAGTCATTGAAAGAAGGAAACTTAAAACTGACATTAAACCCAATGACAGATGAGTTTCTATTTCAAGACAAGAAGAACCATACTGTCTGTATAAATCCAACAAAAGGAACTTTAAACGAGAAACCTATAAATGAACTTCTTTTGAAAACAGATGTTGACAACAAAGCTGACAAAGAATATGTAGACGATGCAATAGCAAAAGAAGAAGAAAGAGCTAACAATGCTTATGCAACAAAAGAACATACTCATCCTGAACTAGCAGACAAAACATATGTTGACAATAAAATGTCAAGTGAAGTGACAAGAGCTGAAAACGAATATTCTAAAAAGACTCATACACATTCTATATCTGAAATAACAGACTTAAACGTTAGCCTTGAAAAGAAAGCGGATGAGGAATATGTGGCTAGTAAGTTAGAGAAGAAAGCAGATAAGGAATATGTGGATGAAAAAGATAATGAAATTATAGAAAGGGTTGAATGGTACCATGAATGGACATCGAAGATTTTAAAAACTAAAGCCGATACAGGATGGGTTTCAGGATGTTTAGACCTTAAAGCAGATAAAACTTATGTTAACGATGAGTTAGAGAAGAAAGCAGATAAGACTCATACACATACAAGTTTTACAACTTTTACAGCAGATGATATTACACTAAACACAACCTTGCCAAGTAAAGGTCCAACAATACCACCGGCAACAAGTCTTGTAGATACTTTGATATCTAATGACAATAGTATTATGCATCTAAGACAGGAACTCAATGTGCTTAAACAAATTTTGCCGAATCTTATTTACCCGGTTGGCTCATTATATGTTTCAATGAACTCTACCAGACCAGAAGTAGTACTTGGTTTTGGAACTTGGACTCAAATAGTCGACAGGTTTTTGTATTGTGCAAACTCTTCAAAGGAAACAGGTGGAAGTAAAACGATTTCAGGTGAAAATTTACCTGCACACAGTCACTACATAGATTTAAGTACATCTCAAGCAGGTTGCATAAGCATAGATATTGGGATTGGTCAGGAATGACAAAAGGTAAAGGATATGATGTTAAAGACGACGTTAAGTTTGCTATAAATTGTTACTGGAGTGACACTCAGAGGAGGAAACCATACACATTTCGTTTCAGGATATACGCAAACAACGGGACAAAGTAAAGACTACATGCCACCTTACATGACAGTTTACGCATGGTATAGAATTGCTTAGTCGTCATTTTCAACTTCTTTAGCATATTCGTCAGGAGTTGTCTTATATTTGTTAGGAACTGTCTTTGAAAGTATACCACCTTGAACTTTGACAAGTTTGAAACGAGGTCTGGCAATAGTAGTTTTATCTTCTGCTTGCAGTGTGTACATTTTGCCATGTTTGCCTAAAACTTCATAATATTCTCTTGTATACTTTCTTCTATTTTTACGAACACGAATGTGAGTACCTGTCGAGTTCCCATTGTTGTCATAGTCAATAGTATTTTCATATGGGTCGCGTTTAGGTATTTCTATTTTTACTTTGTCACCTTTCTGAAGTTTGAAGCCCGGCATTCTTTCTTGTTTGTCTCTTTTGACTAAATTATTAAATATATAGTCTTTCTCTAAGTCAGGGTTGTTTTTTCATTTCTTCGGGGGAGTGGTTTCCCAAACCTTTTTGTTTACGGTTATTGTAAATATTTAAAACTTGTCTCATCTTTGCCATGGAGAAGTGTCTATACTTGTCGTCATATGACATTTCATTTGCTTCACCACCTTGTGGTTGGTTTAAGTCTCTTAACATTTTTATACAACCGTCAATGACACCAAGAGCAGAATGGTTTTGGTCGACAATGAAATATTGGTTTACATTTTTTGAACGCAGATAGTTTTTTACATCATCTGATTTGAAAGAACTTTCACAGTCAGATGTCAGTTTTGTTGGATGGTATTTGTCAACGAATATTGTCAAAGCAGTTTTCACATCTAAAATATTTTTGGACCATAATGGTATGGCTTCACAGTATCTTGTGTTTTGACCAACAAATATTAACCAGTATGGAGGTCCATCTGTTCTAACTCTCGGAATGTTTTCCAAGATATCCATAAACCAAGCATTTGGTGTTGAACTAAAGATTTTTATCATGAGTGCTTTCTTTGTCCTTTAGAAACATAGGGGTCCTTGTTTCGGATTCGTCATTTTTTACCCTATAAGAAATGGGTTTATTTGGCGCATTAGCAGGAGTTGCATCCAGATTTTTGCCCGCAGTGGGAACAATAGCCAGAGGTGTATTTGGAGTTGGAAGGAAGATTTTGAGTACATTAGGTATACTTAAAGAGAAAGCACAACCTATTATACAAACTGTACAGAAAGGTTGGATGTAGCACGAGATGCAACAAATCTTATTCCAAATCCTGAAACAAGAGGAAAAGTTCAAGGATGGATGGACAATGTAGGAAGACAAGCAGGAAACTATTATAACAAAGCAAATGACTACTATAACCAAGCAGGACACTATATGGACCAAGGTGAAAGATTCTTTAACAGAGGATATAACCATGCACAACAGTGGGTAAACAATAACCAACCTCAACCGCCTCAAACGTGGGGAATGTAAAGTTTTTTATTGAGATGAAATGAACAATACAGCATTGAGACAAATGAGTTCAAGATGGATTTGTCGGCTTCCAGCAGTTACACCACGTGTTTGTAAAGTTCTTCCTATACCTCAGGAAGTTTTAGACCGACTTAAAAAACCTAAACAACCAGTTGAAAACAAACCAAACTAAAATTTTTTACTGAGATGAAATGACCGAAGAAGTTGAAACGGTAGATTTGACACCACAAACAAAAAGTTCAGAACCATTGTCAAAACCTGTCAAAGAACTTACAGATGAAGAGAAAAATTCAATAATAGAAAGTGCCAGGTCTGGAAATACAAACCCTAACTATAAAGTCACTTTTCATAGAAATGGAACGGCTAGTATCTCAAAAAGAAACAGACTCTCACAAATAAAATATTGAAGTCTGAAGGAGCTTTCGAGACAACAGATGGAAAAGTTTACTTCACTGACCAACAGTTCATTATAGAACATCTCATTGACTTAGAGTCGAAATATTCTAAACTTTACAACAAACACAAAAAGTTGAAAGGAAAACAAAAACAAATGGCATATGATATTTATGAAGATGTTGACGACACAACTGTTCCTGCAAGTGAAGTAAAGTCAGAGGAACCGAAAAGTGACGAAAAACCGATAGAAGAAGAAAAACCAAAAACTGAAGATAAACCAAAACCAAAGTTTAGTTTCCAAACTAAACCAAGTCAACCTTCATTAGCTGGTATGGGTTGGCGTCAAAGACTTATGGCAGCAGGCGGTTATGTAAAGTAAAGAAAAAATATTTTTTATTTTTATAAAAATGCCCCCATATAGAATGGATAGAAAGTCTGCTAGAATAAAAGCAGAGTTACAAAGATATGGTTGGAGAGTTTCGAAGAATTTTAAATATAGGAAGGGAAGACCCATAAAAGTCTATGACAAATTGTCTGGTCTTCGCTACGAAATGGATTTGGAAACAGCACGTGCCAATTATCCAAACAGACTAGAGAGGTTAGAAGAAGAACGTCTTATGGACATGCCTTTCGATGTTAGTGAACCTCAAGTTGAAGGACACGACGGCTTTGCCAGATTCTACTGGAAACATGACGAACAATTGCATCCTTTGAGAAGGAAAAAAGGAAAAGGTGAAGACACACATGCTCCCATGGAAAGAACAAGATATGCATATGAAAAGTATCGTGAAGTTAGAAGTCAAATTACATCTGGTCGAACCTTTACAGTAAACTTTGACGAAGGAAAGAACAAAGAAGGCTTCATGGGAGTACTTGCTGCAATTCAAGACGGAAATAAGAAAGGACACAATCTCAGATTGACCATAACAGATTTGGATGGTCACATTTACTATGCACATGGCAATGTCACAACAGCTGCAATGGTTCTTGACGCTTTCAAGACTACAAAGAGAGAACAAATGGTTGACTCCGACTCAGACATTTTGAATGCAATTGAAGGAATTGCAAGTGTCAAGTTCGAATGGTACCAACCTAACCCTCAAGCAGTCAGACAACATGCTGGATACTTCCCCTTCATAAATAAGTCTGACATTGACTTGACAAGGTATGGAATTTACAATTCAATTGAAACAATTGTCAATGAACCTTGCATTCTTACATGTCTCAGGAACTCTGGTCTTGTTACAGATGAGAAGATGAAGTATCTTGAGTCATGTGTGAAGACAAGGTACATTCTCAGAGGTCAATTGGCAAAAATTGCACCGTTGGCAAATGTCAATATCCGAGTCAACATACCTACAGCTAAAGGTTCTTCACATGACGACTATGTTGTTGACAAAGACTTACCATGGTTGAAGATTGTAATTGTCCACAACCACTTCATGTTGAACGAAAGTCTTACAAACCCATTCTTTGGTAAAAGTAAGTGCAACATTGTCAGAGCTGTAAACATTCTTTTCGAGAAAGGTTTGTTGGAACCAATTCCAGATGACAAGCTGACAGAAACTTTTGTACCAAAAGACGAAACAAACTTTTCATTGTTAGCAAGACCAAAAGTTGTTCCAGACAAAGTTCTAGTACAAAAGAAGTACACAGTTCCACAAGGGGTTGGTATGTTCGGATACCAACCTGAACCAGAAGAACTTCCAATGAGGTTGCAAGAACTTCAAGATGCTATAAACAAACTTCCATTGAGACATCCAATTGACGTCAAATTGTATTGGAGAGCATCTGAGTTAGGTCAGAAGGTTTTATATGAAACAGGTTGCTTCGACGATGTTTATGAGATAACAGGAGAAGTTTCTCAGAAGATAAGAGACTCACTTGAATTTCCACAAACTGGACCAATTGGTTGCGACAAGTTCGACTCAGATGAAAAGATATACTATGTCGACCTTAACGCTGCATACATGAGGTTTGTCCAATATATTCCGACTGGAATTCCAAACGAAGATGGTGAGTTTCCGGGAAGGAACTATACAGTTGGAAAAGTCATACAACAACTGTATGATATTAGGAAAGCTTCAAACCCCAAACTTGCAATGACACTCAAATTGCTTATGAATTCGACATGGGGATATTCCATTAAGAAACCTCAAGAGATGAAGAGTAAACATTATGAGAAGGTCGACAACTTTGTTGAAAGGTTTTCTCCTTTTGTTTTGAAGTACGAATTCACTCAAGGTCAAAATGGCTTAGTAACCACATTAAAACCTATTGTCGAACATTGGTCTTACCCTCAGTTCGCAAAGGCAGTACTTGACAACTACAACAAATTCTTCTCCGAAGTCAAATCCAAAGTGAAGGTTTACTATGAGAACATTGACGCACTCATGACGAACGAAGAAGGCTATAACAAACTCATTGAAATGGGTTTAGTCGGTGAAAAGATGGGCTGTTTTAAGCTAGATAAGGTATTTTCCGAAGTTCATGTAATATCGAAAAGGAAATATTGGGGCATACTTGAAGACGGCACAGAACTAAAACATTGCATGAAATAAAAAATTTATTTTTTAAAAAGTGAATTTTTTTAATTTTATTTGAAATGTACGCTGAGTTTGTTGGAGAAGACCGTTGGGAAACTTGTTTGTTAGATGAGAAATATGAAATGGCATACCATTTTAAAACAATATATTTTTACATATATTAAATGCTTCAGGTTGAAAAACAAAGAACAAAAGTAGCAGATACAAAACCGTTAGACTATATCTTTACAAATGCTGGTAGGACTATTTCAGATGAAGAAATTTCATCCCGAGCATACAGGTTTGACTATCCAATTCGTTGGCTTCAAAGTCCTTCAGATGCAAAGGCAATAGGATTTAGAAGAGTTTTGTTTTCAAATAAAACTAACGCATTTATGTTCGCAGTATATTTTCATGGGCAGTATGAAGGTTCTGATGGTCTAATAGACAAATTTGACGAAATGAGAATCTTTACAGTTCGTTCAGACGAAAGTCTTGAGAAAACTCTAAATGACTTTCAAACTCAAATGAACAAATATTATTGGGAATTTCAAAAAAAATACGACTCTTTACTAAATGGAACATACTATCTGAAACTAGAATATGACAAGATGAACTCCACCGTTTCATTTCAAAAGATTGAAATTAACCCTCCAAGAGATACAGAGTTTTTATTTTGGGAAGTAGACAAACGTTCTTGGGCACAATTTCTTCGGTTACTAAACCAGAACGAACCATTACCACCAGATGGTCCATTTAAATTTATACTTCCACCAGCAGATTTGATGGTTTATAGAAACGTGTTTGACCCTCAAAATGTTATGTGTCATGCAAGTTTCAGTTCAAGCAACAATAGTTTTCTATGTATTGGTAAGGACTTTTATGACTTTGCTTCTAAATTCTACGAACCACCTAGTAACAGTTTCTCTGACTTTCAAGTTTGGTTCACAACAAATGGTGTGCAACATATTATTCCATTGTACTATGACTTTTATCTCGAATTGTCTTTCATATATAACTACGGAAAAGTGCTGAAAAAGTATTGAATGTGAAGATATTAGAAAATAACATTTTTTCTAACATCGTAGAAAACTCATGAAAACAATTTATTTTTGACACTTTCACAAAAAACATAAAAAAAGTGAGTTAAAATGAGATGTTTACTGAACTGGCTGAATGTCGCCTTCTGTAGTTATGTAGAATGGTTGACCAGAGAAGTGAAGGAGACCCTTGAGAATTTGGTTCATTCTTGGGAAAGGGTTCTCTCTGTTTGGAAGTAGTATCCAAGGACGCTTGGCAAAGAACTTGAGAAGAGCTTCTTTCTTTGCTTGCTTTATGTCGTCGTAGGCTGTCCCGTCTGGTATTTGAATTGGAATTCCAGTCGAAGTCTCGAGCTGAAGTGTAGACCTTCCAGAAATAGTGGTAAACTTGACCTTGGGCTTCATGACCTTGCGCATGTAGTCTTTTACGCAGTCGTTAATTTCAATTAGGTAAATTGCCTCGTCAAGTCTTTCTTGCATTCCAAGTTCTTCCATCCGACAGGAAAATATTTTCCGGACAAAGGGAAAAATTTTTCCTTCCGACAGGAAGAACTCTTCCATCCGACAGGAAAAAATTTTCCGGACAAAGGGAAAAATTTTTCCTTCCGACAGGAAGAACTCTTCCAGTTGTCCGTCCGTAAACCATTCAAATTTTCGAAAATTGAGAACTTTTTGGTCGAACTTTCGAAAAAATTTTCCATCCGACAGGAAAAAATTTTCCGGACAAAGGGAAAAAAATTTCCTTCCGACAGGAAAAGTTCTTCCTTCCGACAGGACACAAACGAATGTCCGACGTCCCACCAACCGAGTCCATTCCCAAACCAGAGGAACCTAAAGAACCACAACAGTCTCCTCAGCAACCTCAGTTCCAGCAAGTACCTCCGAATTACTACCAATTTCCACCTCAAGGTTACTACCCACCACAAGGCTTCCCGAACTACCCTCCTCAGCCTATGCCTTACTGCCCCAACCCTTGGATGTTCCAGCAAGCTCCACCCCAGCAATTCCAATCTCAGTCCAAGAGAGACCAAGACTTCGAAGAAGGTCTGAACCGCTTACGCAAAGAGTATGCTACAGCTCCAATTGAGAGAAAGTTGTTCCCGGACCAAAAAATATAATTTAGGTGAAGAGGTGAGATTTCACCTCTTTTTTCACCTGTTTTTTCACCTGTTTTTTCACCCTCTTGAATTTTCATGAATTTTATATATTAATGTTTTCGCTAAGCCACTTTGTGCCGTCAGTCAGTCAGTCAGTTTAGGAAAGACTTTAGAAAGTTGTTGGAAAATAAGTCCTGGGAAGAGTATTATAAGGCATTTTGTGAAGAATATAGCAACAGTCTGAATTCAGACGGTTGCTTTTTATACAAAATTCATGCAGGAAATTCTTGAGTTTTGGTTGAAAGAATACGATGGAGCCAAAAGTGGCTCGACCTAAAAACAAGCATTTTATGAGCTTACTAAGGGCGTTATAAATGAATTCAAAGGTATTTACATACATCCTGACCTCGTTCATTTTGTTGCTGAATTCAGCAAAAATAATGTTTAGGTGAAGAGGTGAGATTTCACCTCTTTTTTCACCTGTTTTTTCACCCTCATGAATTTTCATGAATTTCCTTAAGATAGAAAAAATAAAGTTAGTTTTATTTTTATTTATTTTTTATTTTGTATAAAAGAACAGAAATGTCAACAATCGGCACAACAACAATTCAAACAACAGCACCAAACTCGTTAGTCATGAATCCAACATCTATGTTAGTAGAAATGAAAAGCTTCATTCCTTCTTCATATACTTTTGAAACAGAAATCCAGAAGATAAAGCAAGAACTTTTAACAAGTAATTTAGACTGTAGTGCGAAAGATGAAACAAATGAACAGTATCTTTATGAAATGGAGGACCTCATCGACCATTTGCCTAAACTACCTGAAATTCAGCAGCAAAAACTAACTATTCCTGAATTCGACGAAATTGAAGTCAAAGCAACTGACTCGGTAGAAATAAAGAAGTTTCATACGAAAGGTAAATTATGAATTCCTTGGTTTTCATTGCAACCATAAAGTTATGGACAAAGATTGCGACATGGTATATAAGAACATCTCTGACATATATAAATCTGGGGAGTTTAAGACATACGACAACTTTGTTTCATTAGCTGCAAAATGTGTATGGCAGATAAGAGATAAAATAGAAGAGGTAAGGTATGGAATGAACAGATAAAACCAACTGCTTCAGATTTAAAGAAAACCATTGACGCTTGGTTGTTTTAGCAGGTAAGGTTTCAGAAATATAACGCAAAAATGAACCCGCAATGTTCTAAATGTAAAGCAGCAATAAGAAAATATAACTACTCCGTCAAAGAGATAGAAAGAATGCGAAACGACTATGCAGACTTAAAGAAAGAAGCAGAGAAGCCGGTAGAAAATAAAATGGACATGTTAGAATTTCTGAACAAAAACTATCCAACTGCTGACGATTTCCTTCTATCTGATGTCAAGAAGAAGTATAAAGAAATTTTCGGTATCGTTAAAACATTCGATGTACTAAAAGAAGAAATAGAAGCTACGAAACTGTTTAGGATTTCAAATATACATCGTACAATTCATGTAAAACGCTTATAAAATAACTGGGGTGAAAAATTAGGTGAAAAAAGAGGTGAAATCTCACCTCTTCACCTAAAATATATTTTTATTGAATTCAGCAACAAAATTCTGAGTAAAATGGCATATGGCATGTGTCAAACCGTTGAGTTTTCACAAAATTTAAAAAATAACGTTTCACATGGTAAACGTTTATAAAATAACTGGGGTAGAAATGAGGTGAAAAAAGAGGTGAAATCTCACCTCTTCACCTAAACATTATTTTTATTGAATTCAGCACAAAAATCATGAATTTCCTCATATGCTTGCTTCCCTCGGAAAACCGAGAGAAGAGATTCCGTACGAAAATCGCAAGAATTTGGCTCCTGGTTTGAAAGGATATTATGTACATAGACTTCTTGTAAATGCTGTTGCAATGTGGGCTTCACCTAAATTATATTTTTGCTGAATTCAGCACAAAAATCATGAATTTCCTTAAGATAGAAAAAATAAAGTTAGTTTTTTATAAAATATTTTTTTATTTTGTATGTAAAGACAGATATGTCAACAGCAGAGAACACAACAACAGTTATAGTCCATGAAGCTATAAATGAAGAATATGAGTGGGTTCAGTTTAACAAACAACTCCGTCTCATTCGTTCGGTCAAAGACGATATGTACCAAATGCAAAGTATTTTGACAGCATGTTTTGCTCCAGATACTAAGCTTCCTAAAGACTGGTTTAGGAACCAAAGCACACAAGAACTTTTGAGCGAAGCACAGCGAGACATACTTTTTTCTGAAAACAGTGAAGAACAGCGAGTAGGTAAAAAACCCCAGTCGCCAAAACTCTATGAAAATCGTGAAAAATTGCCAAACGGTTTGAGAGGATATTATGTACATAGACTTCTTGTAAATGCTGTTGCAATGTGGGCTTCGCCTCGTTATGCTTGGTATATTTACAGACTTCTTGACGAAATTCATAGACAAGAACGTGAAGAGATGGAAAACAAGCTTGAAGCAAAAGACAAAAGCATTCAGAAAAGAATACCACGTTCGGTACCAAAAGGTAAGGAAAAGAACTATAAGTATATGATTTATACTGAAGAGATGAAAAATGAAGAAGATAAAGATATGGTTATGTTGCATTTAGTCAGAAGAAACAACAAAAGCTTTTACGACTTAGCTAAGATTTACAAATCTGACAGAAATTGGTTCTATCGCAAAAACTTACCGATTTCAATGACCCCAAATGAAGATGTGAAACAAATAATTCAAGATACGTTACCTCAAACACACTATGATATGAAAGGTTGTACAATACTTACCTTCAAAGAAGACTTAACATTACTGAAGGAAAAAATAACAGAATATTTTGACAACTTCAAACAAGTAGGGTAGATGAACCATTTATTTTTATTGACTTTTTACAATTTGAACTTTGTTTGCGTAGATATGAATTCTGAAAGAAGTATGAGGGTCTTGTATGACTTTGTACTTCTCCCATAGTTCATGTCTGTCAAACTTACCTGCCATGGACTCTTTCATAAGTTCCATGAAATCGTCTTCGGACAATCCGGGGAAAAGTATTATGTCAGTAAGTATTCTTTTAACATCCTTACTTAAACTCTTGGCTGTCTGTACACAAATGACAACTGAGATGTTAAAGTGTCTGAGCTTCTTAAGAATTCGACACATATCTTGTTCTCTATTCTTTAACAAAGGATGAGAGGCGAAATCATCTAAGATAAGAAGACATCTATGAGGGTAAGTCTTCCAATCGTAAGATTGCAATTTCTTCGAAATGTATTCTATCTCTTTCTGTTTGTTTCTGAAGTGTTTCTTCTCTAATATTCTCTGCATTTCCTCATTTGGGTCTTTAAACTTAGAATTTATATACTCATTTATGCATTATACTTCAAAACTCTTCTTTGGTACTTCTTTATCCAATCTAACAACTCAGTATCCTTTATACATACTAACTTAGACTTCTTTATAATATCTTTGAACGAATTGACGGTTTGGTCAAATTGACCAGAAGTCGAACAAATGACTACTAACTCATAGAATGGGTTCTTCTCATCTAGTTCTTGTTGTTGTGCAGCCATTTTAAGATAAGTGAAAGTCTTACCCGACCCAGGTGGTGCAATTAGACCTGTTATACCATTCTGAGCAAATAAGAACTTTTCATGTATAGGCTTTATCTGAGCATTTTCTAACTTCACCTTGTTCTTGTTTAAAACATTCTCAAATTTCTTGTCAATGTCAGCAAACTTTTTTTCTAACATATTTTTAGAAAAATTAAAATTTTTATCTTTTAGAAAATGTCTAGCGATTTCGCTATCTATATTCGAGACAAGCTTTTTGACAGCAAAACATCTGTCGACCATAAAATCTTACATAGTGTAAACAAGAAAGGTGAATTTGTTCTAAAGTTCTGTTTCTGGGAATATGACAAGAACCATAAAACATTAAGCAGAATAGTCTTAAAATTTGTCAATGACAGACTTGTTGACAGAGATGACGCCTCTTGGAAAGATGAAGTCCAACAAAAGTTCTTAGAATGCAAAGAAGACACATGCGCTGTTCTTGAAGATGAAATAGAAAACAGAATAGATGAGCTATTAAAGGACAAAGAACTTTTACATAAATATGGTTCTGAGAAATTTGACATATCTCCACCAGAAAAGAAGAAGAGAGAAAAGAAAGAAAAGAAAGAGAAAAAAGAAGAAGAGAAGAAAGAACCTGAACCAGTTCCAGAGAAAAAGAAATTTGACATGTAAAAATAAAATTTTATTTTTAGAACATTTCTGGGTCAATGTCAATGTTCTCTTCCTCTTTAGGAGTAAACACTGGCTTAGACTCTAAAATCTTTTTACCCAATTTACCTTGAACTTCTACAACTTTAGACTCATAATATTCATAGTCGTCTGCTTTCTTTGGTTCATAAGGTATAACAAGTTTGTATGCTTTACCTTCTTCGAGTTTTGAGAACTTTCTGTCAAAATTTTCTTTGACTGTCAACATACCGTCAATGTATAAGTCTTCAAAAGTTGCACCACTTTTTCTAACAACAGCAAACTTAACTGGTGCAATGTTCCAAATTTTGTCAAATGTAGACTTTTCAAAATTGTAGAAGTAAACATTCAAATATGCGAATGGAGCTAACTTATCTTTGACTTCTGTCATGTACTTGTTTACTGAGATGAATTTTGCCATCTTTTTCTATCGGATAAAAAATATTTTTTTTAAATTTACTCAGAAAAAATTTTCTTTGTATATACACCATTCTGAACATCTAAAAGACTTTTGACATTTGCCAAGAATGTTCGTTTAGAAGCTGTCATATAACCATATTCTTGACAATATTGTTTATACGAATCGTACAATGACCTTTCATCTAATGACACAAAGTCAGTTTCATCTATGAACAGTTCATATACACTCTTGTTTGCTTCTAACAATGTTTGTCTCTCTTCGGTATGTGGAATTTGTCTTGGATTGAACTTTGAAATATCTAATGTCATAAAATATGAGAACAAGTGGTTGTAAAAGTCAGATGTCAAAGTTTCTGCTAAGTCGTCAAAATATTCTGTATCTTGCATATGAGAATCTGACGTTCTGACAACTACATATCTTCTGTCAGAACTTTCTAACTTCATCGGAACAGCATTGTTTGAAACCATAATGAAGTTTGCAACATTTTCACAAACTCTTTGGTCTTTATACTTTCTTTCAACAACTCCAACTTTGTCTGTTATAAGACTCTTCAAAGCATCTGAGTTCAAAACTTTTGTTGTATCTATACTTTGAAGTTCATTGCAAACTATAAGTTTCATATTCTCAATTGAAGAGTTAAATTTACCGCAGATGTTTTCTAAGTTTGTCATATTAGGGTTCGAATAACCTTCTAACAGTTTGCACAAAATATCTGTAAAGAAAGTATTCTTACCAGTTCCTTGTTTTCCAATTATAATGAGAGCAGTTTCATTTTTAGCACTTGGATGTTGTAAGATGTTTGCAAACCAACATAAGATATACTCATAGACTCTTTCGTTTCCATTGCATATAATTTCTTTGACATGGTCTAACCAAGCTTCTATAATATTTTCTTTCCATTCTACTTGTTCGTATTTATATCCAGTGAAGATAGAATAGAAGTTTGGAGAAGGTGTATAGAACTTTATACCTCGAACTGAAAAATCTTCTAACTTTGACAATAAGATATCCCAAGCATCTAACATCTTCATGCCAACTTGTACAACTTTTATAGGGTGTCCAAAGGTGTGTTTAGCACAAACCTGAATACTGCGAATAGAAATAAACAAGTTACATATATATAAAGTTTATTTAAATATAATCACCATTGGATTCAATCACGCGTTCGCAGCGATCGATCCAGGCTTGAAAGACACGCTTTAAATCATCATGAGAAAATTGCTCAAATTGCTCTCTTACAAAATTTTCAAGATCATCTGGACTCGCGAATTCGCGTCCTTCAGCTCTCTTTTTTAGCGTGCCGAATAAATAAAAGTCAGAGGGTGCAATATCAGGTGAATAAATTGGGTTTGGAACAACTTTGACATTGTTTTCCACCAAGTAATTCATTACCTTATGACTTTTGTGAACTCTTGAATTATCAAAATGAATTGCAAACTTTTGTTTTTGTTGTTTGGATTTCTCAAACTCATCAGAATTGATAATTTGAGTAAGAACATTGTCAATTAGATACTGAGCATTCATCGTATTAGGTTTTTGAAGAATATCAATTGCGATGATGCCATTCACGCCCCAAAAAACCAACAACATCATCATTGGTGTGTCAATTTTTTTCTTCGGGAATGTTTGCGGATTTTCATCCTTCGGGATCCACATGATTTTGGCTTCTGTTGCATATTGAAACCAAGACTCGTCCCCTGTTACTAAAAAGCGAAACTTCTTGGATTGATACGCACCCAATATAGAGAGGAGCTCTTTCGAAGATTGGACTCTAGATTTTTTTTGAACTGAATTAAGGTTGTGCGGAACCCAACGTGTATACGCTAGTTTGTAGTTCAAATAATTGTGCAGATAATAACTGACTGTTGTACGTGGTATCTTTGTCATCTCCTCTATCCTTCTGAGTGATGCTCTTGGGTCTTCATCTAGCACTTGAAGAATTGCTTTGATTTTTCTTTGATCCGGCGATTTTTTGTCAATTTTTATGATGGGCGCCTTTTTGTTCATGAAGTGATACATCCTAACATGATACGTTACAGTGGAATAGCTAGGAGCATCCATACCGAAGCATTTTACCAATGTCTCGTAGATTTTTTACAGTCTTTGCATTTTTTTGCAAGAGCGAGGATGTTTTCTTTATGATTCATTAAAAAAATGAAAAAAATCCCGCCAAAATTTCCCGCGAAACCGCCTCTTGTCTCAAAATTCATTTTATATCCCGGCATGGCGCCAAAATACAACATACTCATCATATACATATATTCATATTTTTTATTATATATTTATAATCAGCATATATCTCCTTTAATAGTCTCATATAGAGCGCTGTGCTAAACGCACCTTTGGACACCCTATATTTTCTTAAGTTTCTGTCTACATTCTTGTTCTGAAACTATTGTTGCTCTTGGTTTGTTAAAGACTACATCCCATTCTTTCATAACATAACATTCTGGGGCAGAGTCGACATAAATGACTAAACGTTTCAAATTCTCGACTGCTTTGTTATAGTCTCGAAATGGACACATATTTCTGAATGCTTGGAATTCATAAAAATCTGAAACATCTATTCTGTACATTTTTATAAAAATAAAAAAAAATATTTTTTTTTATTCTTGACTTTGTTGTTGCATTTGTTGCATTTGTTGTTCTTGAGCTATTTGTTGTTGAAGTTGTTCTTGTAATACAATACTTTCACCAGTTGCATCTTCCAATTCGAAACTTTCTGCCGTCATTGACAAATACATAGGACATAAAAGTTTTACAGGAACAAAGTTTGCGTCAACTAATGTCAACGTTATACTTGCCAAAGTGTTTAGTTCACTAAGGTTGAAAATTCTGCATTCGAATGAACAATAGGCAAACCAGCAGAGAAAGTATTGTTTATACGCATAAGTATCTTTTGGTCATAATAGTTTCTGTCGACATTCGAATAACACTTTGAACCTAAGTTTGAAACAATATATAAGATTGGTGTGCTTAATGTCAATGGAATAGACATTCCTTGTATGACACCTTTTCCTGTTATAGGAAACTGTTGGTAGTAAAAACCAGAAATAAGTTTTGTATTATAGCTCATATCGTTTATAGTAAACCAGTCGGACATCCAAACATAATGAAACCTGCTCTAGTTGCAGCACATGTTACACCCGTACTTAAAGTATTAAATAAGTCAACAAAACCTGTTGGTGGTATATCTGAGTAAGTATCTTCAAAGGAGTATTTTTTACCATTCACAAACAAAAGTCTTCTGGTGTCAAAAGCAAAACAGGCTTTAGTCGTCATTGTGTTTAAGGTTAGTTTACAATATCGTCCTTGAGGACTTTGTAAGTTTGTTGTTATAGAATTATATGACTCAGGGTTTTTAGTCGTAATAGTATAAACCATTATATCTTCTGCCATTTATATATATTTAAAAGTTTTTCTGAAAGTGGAGAAGAACTTCATCTAAACTTTCACATGGCGTTTCTTGAAGTTCTCTGTCTAAGAAGTTCAAATATTTTGTAAAGACATAGAACTTTCCTTTGTCTACACGAACAAACAAAACAGGGTCTTTCATATCGTTCAAAAGTGTGTAAAGTCCTTTACATGAAATAAAGTCTATATTATTTTTCTTCAAACATCTTTCAAGAAGTTTTGACATTTTACTTAGCAAATAAATTTTAATGAAATGTTGTGGTCGTCAAATATTTTTATGACGTCTGGGAAACTATACTTTAAGTTCAACGTTTCACCTCCTTTCATAACGTATATCTTGTCAATGACATTATATGAAACACCACAGCAACTAATGTCGGGTTCTATTTCTTTGATGTTTATATCGTCTGCCTCTGTCAAAAGTTTCAATAGTTCTTTCAAAACTTCATGAGGTGCAATGACATATGAGTTCACTTTTACAGGGTTGTGTTCGACCAAGTTTAACATTATACTTAAAGCTTGACAAATCTTCTCCTGAGTTTGAAGTTTGTCTTTCAGTTGTTGGTAGTCGTTTCGAATATCTGCAACAGAACTTAAGTCTCTGCTAACTTCAGGATATGTTGGTTGTTCTTTTACAGGAACAATTGTTATACCATCTTCGTCCTCGTATGGTTTCCCCACTTCAACATCTCTGTCTTTGACATTGACAATAACACTTTGACTGTTTGTTTGAGTTGGTGAATTTAACTTCACATCTGCCACTGCCATTAAACCTTTTGAAACACTTACGCTTCTATTTTTCGGAAATGACATTTTACTTAGAATAAAAAGATGGACGTATTCGAGTATCTCTTCGAATTGAAGCAGAACAAAGTTTACACACACAAACAATACAAATACATTGACAGAATAGTTCTTTATACAAACAATGGTAAATGTTATAGAATAGCAGTCTTTGCTGAACCAAAATATTTTCATAAAGCAAAGAAAGTTGGTATAACTGAAATGGTGAAAGTTCTTGAAGCAGACAAAAATATAACTTCAAAACTTACAGATATTACTAAAGGAAAGTTTATAATACAATATTATGTCAAAACTGGCGTACTGTCAATATTTGACGGAGAGAAGTCAGTTCAAGAACAACTTACTGACCTGCTGCCAAAATCTGCTCGATGGAAGCTGTCGTTATGCCAATCTGAGGAGCCCCAGCAGGTTTCATCGAACGAATCTTCAAAAGAGCATCTTCCGTGAAAAGTGCTATTGGTTTTGTAAACTTCTTTGCTTTCAATTCATCTGGACCGTCTCTGTCACCAGTATATTGTATTTGAACTGTACCAACAGTTGAAATACCACCCATAAAGTCTTCTGAGTCAGCAAATGGAATGCCAAGCCAAAAGTTTGAACGGTCTCCATTTGTATATTGAGTTTTTTGACCTCCTGTATGAGTCCATACTTTCACATATGGCATAATAGAACTTTGCATTTCAGGGTTAATGGTTGTTGTGAAATTGTTGTTAAAGTTCATAGCATCTAATGTCAAGTTGTATGACCTCATATCCTCAACTGTAGAATATTCTTCTCTTGGATAATATTTACCATCTATGTTTATATGATATTTAATACCGGGGTTGTAGAAACAAGAATAGTCATTTATAGTTCGTCTGAACAGTACAAACATAGTATCTGCATGTTTCATTGCAGTTGTTAAAGCAATATCTGTTCTTGCACCTGCGGCTCCTGGATTTTGGTTTCCAACTTCACCTGCAAAGTCTTTGACAGATATTTGGTGTATAGGGAACATAAGTGGAACTGCAATATATTTGGCAGCTAAAGCATTTGAAATATCTGGGTCCAACATATAGACTGCAAGTCTGCTTTCTATTCTCTTGCATTCAAATTTTTCGCATGTGAACTTAACTGGGTCCCAAGCATCTCCAGCAGCATTGAAATAATAGTTTACTTCAGTGTTGAGGTTTGAGAAACTAAAGTCTAAGTCAACTTTGTCTTTGCAAAAGTCACAGAACTTGGCTCCACCAGTTCCAGCTACAGTAATGCTGAATGGGTCTTGTGTTGGTGCAATGACTAAGTTATTTTTGCTTGGAGTAAGTTCGATAGAAATTTTTCCTGCCCAGTTTGGCAAGTATCTTAAAAACCTGAAGATGAGGAAAGATGACAAAGGAACTCTAAGTTTCAGTTTTACTTTGGT